TGTCATGTTGCTGTACGTAGAACAGCAGTACAAACAAGACGAGAGCGTTTCTTCAGGATCCAAAAACTAGACACAATTAAATAAAGAAGTGTTTGCACATCTGGATCAGCAGTTCAGCATCCTGTTGATCAGTCTGGAGGTTCTTCCTTTAACGCTCCGGAAACATTTCAGTTCAGTTTATGGAGAGGGAGAACGTTTGTAAGACATCACCGTGAACGAGTTGTGATGATATTTTTTAACTGTTTTTGTGCATATCATAGTTATTCATACCCTTTCCTTTACTGCTCTCAAACGTCTCCACTGGGATTTGCTTCCACTCTCCTTTCATGACCATCTCCAGGTCTTTGAGGCTGGATTCTCTCTCTCCATCCCGCTGTTCTTCACTTCTTCCTCAGATCCTCAAAGGGGATTCGGGGCTTTGTTCTGGCTGGTCCGCTCCAGCGTGCTTATGTTATTTCGTTGAAGGTCCAATATTGTCCAAAGACACGTTTTTCCTGCAGATAATTTCCCTCCAGGAATCTTAATCGTCTTTTCTCGTGACGTCCTTTACTTTCCCAAGGTCGCCTCCCACATCGGCTGAAAAACGGCCTCGAGGCATTCGAGCGGGCGTGCTTGACATTGGGGATGGAACAACCTCCAAACAACTCGATCTTCCATCTCGTCCAACCACAGAACCAATGAGCCGAAGCTCTCTGGTCCCAGGTGACCTTTTGCAAAGGCTCGGCGTGCTTTTGTGAGCCCGTCATGGAGAAGTGGAGTCCTCCTCGGTCGGTATCCATGGAGACCAGCCTCGTCGCATTTGTCTGCTTGCCTCAGATGTTGGGACCAGAATAGCTCTGGATGGTCTTGGTGGGGAGCTTTAGATTAAGTCTTGCCAGTGCGGGGGTCACTGCTGGCTTCCTCCTACGCTCTCTAAGAGTTTTCAGTGTGGAGCTGCTTGTAATATGCACCGCGGCCACTTGCTCTTGAAAACACTGGATTTATAGACTTCGACTGTGTCGTGAGCAGCCGCAGCGACCAACGGGAAGTTCTCGCTGAGCTCTGCAAGTCACTAAAAACGCTCTGCAACCAGGAATATGTGTGATCTTCCAGCTGCTGCAGCGTTTTCAAAGGGGAACGAATGCTTTTGGATGCAGAACTTTGAACAAAACTGAGTGAAAAACTCTAAATGTGTCGTCTCAAACACGACTTCTTTTGTCACTTTTTGTGCCATTTTCAGCCAGAAGACAAACGCTGATTAATAAAAAATCAAAATACGACGAGGGTGTGAACGGCTCGGGGCTCAAACTGCTCCACCTCAGAGGGCAACGCTCCGTTACAATCACCTGACAGTTATTTTACTAACGATTCTTTGCACACACACGAAGGACACGGAGGAACTACCAGCATGTTCTGTTACAGAACCCAAAGAGAAAATTGGCAATTACTCTGATGATGGTTTGGAGCACTTGTCATTTTATTTCTGGCAGCCTCTTTCGAATAGCAATAAGGGGGAAAAAGGGAGAAATTAATCAGCGAATCGATTCATAATAATAAATATTCATTAGCTGTTCAGAACGAGGTGCACCTTAATTAAAAATCCAGCTTTTACATGAATGTGTGAGTAACAACAATGTGATGGTATAATATGTAATAGTTTAATAGTCACAGGGGACTGTTTTCTGCATTACTTTAAAAAAAAAAAAAACTTGTGCGTGCATACTTTTACTCAAGTAACACTTTCAATGCAGCAGTTTTCATTGTAGTAAAGTACTTTTACAGTTTAAATACTTAAAAGTTGTAAATCTATCGTACTGTAAGCGGCACATGTAGCTCAGTGCGTGGTCATGACTGTGTTGTGTAATGCTTTTAAAAAATAGCAAATAGCAAAACCACAGGTGAATTTATGTGGCTTTATCGAGTTGTATTTTCGGTTCGGTGGGTTTTTTTTTTGGGACGTACAAAAACAATGTTATGCAACCATGATGTCAGTGTTGCACAGATAGACCGACACGTGTTTTATTTTTTTAATAGTGACTCTATTTTGTGCCCTCCTCAAACCCAGTTACTGTTCCATAATTGGGCTTTGCATGTACAATGCATGAAAGCATCTGATTCGGGAACAATGTTTTTTTTTCTTTGCCTTTTGTTCAGTTTCTGGCATTTTCCTGGTGGAGCGTTCATTTTTATGATAAAAACAACAAAAGGAGGAGCAGACTATTGCATTCAAATTCTCCTGACGAACAAAAGAGACTTCTTTTTTTGTATGCAGAAGAACGAAACAGGACAAAGATAAAGAGACTCATTCTCCAAGTGGTGAAAGACTGATGCACGTAATAGTGAAGCTTGTCTTGTTATAATAGACCTCATTGGATTTAGTCACACAATGTAACTGAGGCTATAAATTCATGTATCAGCTCTGTGCTCATCTCTCTACTTCCACAAAGCCTTTAGAGTAGCTCCTTTTTTTTTTCTTCTTTTTTAACAGACGGAGTATAAATGAGTCTTTCGGGGGGGAGATGATTTCCCTGGATGTGAATGGAAACCGAAGGGTTTCCGGCAAGACTGTTTGAAGAATGAAGCTAATTAAGAGAGGTGGGAGTCGAGGAGGAGAGGCCCGGTGACTGGACTCCATCCCGTCTGTCAGTAATCTCATCGCTGAACATGCTCTGAATATGGTTTCCCAAATAACTGCACCTTCTGCTGTTAAGTGGATCTTTTCTATTCTAACCGAGTTCTTGTGCTGTATGAAGATTCTTGAGTGTTTTCACCTCATCTTTGGCTTTGCACACATTTTATGCTGGTTTATTTTAAATACTCTTTACACATGAAAGGTCGGCCACACTAGTACAAGTACTAGAAGCTGAAAATGCCAAATCTTTACTGTTTTCTTTATCACCTAATTCCATTTTTGGCGATGCTATTGTCACGCTTTCCACCGCTAAACGCTAATAACATGTAGTATCTGATGACTATTCTTTCTACACAGGATCAGGCACAACTTAGTTTTGTTTTTTTTTTAGCAGTGATGGTGGATATAATGCAGATTATTTTTGCAGTAAGTAAGTGTAAGGGGTGCTACTATTCCCAACTGGTGTCAGCTTGTTTGCTGTTTCTCTGTAAACTGATGCATCCTATCCATTTTTAACTGGGCTAAGCTATCAGTTTTTCAAGTTATTGGCCAACATGTGGTCGTAAACAGACCTTGACCTATGTTTTTTTTTTTTAACTGTGCAACCAACAGGTGTCGTGAGCTGCACGAAAGCTACCCGCTGGTGTCTACATGAGAAACT